ATGAAATCACTTATAACACCTATGAATATATTCATGTATTCATGCATACACAATAATCACATCACCCATAGTAACATTCATAAAATCATGCAATCAAATATTAGAAATAGACTCATCACGAGTCTTTTTCCATACACATTATATATCAATGCATATGCACTCTCTTAGCCTCGTTAGTCAATATCGTTCTCTTATCTTTTCCTCAATGCCCAATACCTGTCGACTGATCTGGACTTGCTATCAATTGATATCTACATAATCATACATTATACATATCAATATTCCGTTTGATGTACTCAAATCTTTCATTTCTTAAACTAAAAAAAAGATTATTTCCATTTCCTTTATAAGTATATCGGTACATTCCTTAACGTGTGTATCGATACACTACCTATGTTTCGATACACATATTACATTCGAAAGTTTTCCTTTTCAAGGGGTTATCGATACACTCCTTAATGTATCGGTACACTTTGAATGTCTTCCCGGATTTTACTCTTGATGTATCGGTACTTATTGAATGTGTACCGATACACCTTGCTCATATTTTCCTTTTTGAGCCCGAAAATTCACTCAAGCCTACTTAATTCTTCTTCCTTACTCTTCTTTTAACCCTTGAGACTTAACTATACTTACACAAATCAACTTATTTTTACTTTAGCTCATTATAACATCCCATATCCCTAAACATACTTGGATTCAATAATTAAACCAATAAATCAATATGTTCCAAATTCATTTCTATCATTCCGAATTTCTTAGTTTAGCTGGTGACAAATCAATTTTCACTTCAAAACTTATTTACTAACCCAATCTCAATAATTCCTTTAAAAACTCTTTTTATTTCAATCTCACATAACTTAATCCTCTTTAAGTTTTAATCTTAAGCTTTCCTTAAGCTTTTCTATCACCCCAAGAATCAAAACCAACTGAAAAACGAAAGAATTAACCAACTTGAGACCAACGTACCTTAGCTATGGTGTCACGGTGGAGAGGAGGAAGAAGAAGAAACAAGGTTCCAGATTCCTCTTTTCTTTTCCCTCATTTCCCACGTGATTTTCCTTTATAAAGGGAAAAATCTTTCTTATCAAATGAACATTATAACTTTATTACTTTCAAACTTTACTAATAATTCCTTTACAAACTATTTCCCAATTAAGTCCCTGAACTTTTAAATCTTTCAAATTAGACCTCAAGTTTCAAAACTTCCATTTTAGTCACTAGCTATTATTTTGGGATATTAAAAGTTTACCATTTTATAATGGTATACCTGTGAAAGTCTTAAATTACGTCACAAGTATCACTATAAGAGTAAAAGTTTTTAATGAAAAATTGATAGTGACTATTAGTAATTTTGTCACAATTATTAAGCTTTTGGTGACAAAAATTTGTATGACACTATCAACAAAAATAATTGTGATGTATTTTATTTCATTATTTTATAGTAATAACTAAAATGATAAAAAATTTCTCACTATAAGTATTTAATTTTGACACAAATTTCACCGTCACAAAATTTTGGACAATATTAGAATATGCAAATTGACGCCAATTATTTTATTGGCGAGAAATGATATAACAATATTGATGACATATAAAGTGATCAATAGTATTTGATATAAAGTGATCAATAGTATTTGATATTTGTTATGCCAGTAAAGTTTATTTTCATTTAAAATTTTACTTTTTTGTTGTGATAAATATTGACATCAATAAAAAATAAAATTATTGTTAAGATAAACTAGTTTGTCAAAAGGGAAACTTTATTAGTACTTTTTTTTTTGATTTAGGACTTTCACTACAAGAGGTAATACATTGTCAAATATTTTTATTTTATCTTTTAAATATAATTTAAAGACACTTGGTATTATTTTAAGTCTAAATCTTAATATTTATATGTTTATATTTTAAAATTAACTTAATTATTTTTATATTAATTTTTCATGAATGTATTTATATTTCATATGAGAAATCATAAAAAAATTAATTTATTATTATTATTATTAATAATAATTAATACTATATATATTAAAATAAATAAAATTAATTCCAATGATATTTTAAAATAAATATTATTTTTTATTAACAACAAATATTTATTTCTTAGAATTGTGGTTAAGCATTGTACTCTTTCCTTGAAAGTCACATGTTCGATCATCTTAAAAAGTCATGCATTGTATTAATGTATCAAAAGATAACATGTGAAATCAATAACCAGTTAGTCTAGCGAATAACTAACCGATGATAATGACTGCAATCTATGTCCCTAAACAAATATGGATACAATTAAAAATATAATATCTACTAATTGATTTCATAATAAATTTTTTAATTAATCAATTTAATTATATAGTTGTGATAAAATATTTTTCATTAATAAGGATAATATTAGTGTCTAAATTTTTCATAACTGTTATTAGTCTTTTTGTGTCAAAAAAGCATAGTCATAAAATATACTTTCAGTGTCAAACAAATTTATCATAATTTTTATTGATAATAGTATCAAACATTTGGTCACTTAAAAATACTTAGTATGACAATATTGATGATCACAAAATATATTTTTAGGGTCAAACAAATTCATCACAATTTATATTGATAATTGTGTCGAATAAATAGTCACAAAAATGAACAATCGTGACAACTTTTAGAATATTTGTCACTTATATAATAGTGACGGATTATTAGTGATGGTTTGAAATTTTTTTGTCACTATGAATTTTAGTGTTTAAATTTAATGCTTTTAGTGACTATTTCAACGTTACTAAAAGTATATTTTTTTTGTAGTGGCTCTCAACTCGAACTTTACACGATGATATATTGGAAGTGCTCCCTCGATCATCAGAGTGACCTTAAACTTTACAAATTTTGGTGAAATGACTTAAAAATTTTAAAACGATTAATACTAAAATTATGAAGTATAGATAAATCATAAAAGCGGGGCTCCGTTATTTGAAATAAAATTCAAAATAAAATATGTACAACATGACTCAATAAAGTCATAAATGTCAGAACCAAATCGTAGTAAATATGAAAATTAACTAGGATTTAATCATGTTAAATCATCAAGAAAAAATATTATACGCGAAAGCGTATTTAGATTAATTGATAGATTGAAATCCTTGAATCTTTCTTTGATTTTGATCTTCTAAGAATATTGACTTCTCTTGATTATAAACTCTTTGACGGGATAAAAGAAAATACAAGATTATTTCTTGTGGATCATAACCCTTTTATATAACTAATTTAAGAATCAATTATTGTTTGTACTGATAACTCTATCCCTCATCAAATTATAAATACAATTTTAATAATATCTACACTTTTATTCCCATGATACTTCTAATATCTTACGACTTTATAACATAATTGGTCACTTAATTTAAGTCATATTTTATGATAACAATATATGTTAAAATTTTGTGCCCATAATTATGGATTTTAGTCCAACAATAACCTCTACATGCTCACTCGAGTCCTCAACAATGTACTCTGGTACTCCCCTTGAGAATCCTTTGATAATATCGTTGTCCCATCGTGATTCTCGAAACCTGTAACGCGCAAGCGAAACCAATGCAAATGCTAAGCTAACCAAACTCATTGGTACACATCAATTCTATTATATTTCATAAGTTTCATAAAAATAAATATGTTAGCCAGTTATAAACTCATCAACATTGATCATATTTTCTTGTAATCATTGATATTATCGACATAATTCATTATGTATACTCAAAGTCTAAAGTATAACCTATCTCAAGTCATCAGATCATCTAATTCATATATGACATGTTCATATTCTCAATATTTTGGATTCATTATACTTTAGACAGAATAATTATTCAATCTAGGATATACCTCTAGTTCATTAAGATTTTCCATCATGATAATTTTATAACTAATCATTTATACGATAGTTGCATATCATGTTTAATTATATCATCAGAATTAGTAAATTTATAATTCATATAATAATCCATAGTAAGAATATATATATATATATAATACATAAAAACATCAACATGTTATCATGTTTTTTTTAAATAATCATCATGAAACATTATTAAAGAGGTTTGGAGTAAATTCTAATAGGGATCTATCTAGGTGATATGGTCCACAGACTCCCATCGACACATAATCACTCCATTATGATGGACAAATTTGTAGGTCTAAACGCATCGATGCGCCATAACTTGTATGCCCAAATATAACAGTGTCAATACCATCGCTTTATAGCTCTGCTAAGGAAAACAATTTCGAGATATAGAAACACAGTTGCTTGACTTTAGGCATGTCATTGTACAAGTGACCTAACTAGTTAATTTAGACAGTACTAACAACATGAACATTTATGTTTATCTTACCGTGTATTCTTACAATCAATAATATATGCAATGATCTGATCTCAGCATAATCAATCATCAATAATAGTAATTGAAATGACCTATTTCAAGCTTCCCTAATATCATGTGTTATCATAATAATAACTGAGATGATCTGTCTCAAGTCGTCTTAACATCATGCACTATATCACGCAACATGATAATCATTTATTTATCATAGAACATGTTTGAATCATTTATAAGCTTTCATAAATCATTTACTACCCATGAGAGTAATCTGGTATTTTCTCTACTTGGGGGTTATTTTAGTATTTACGACACGAATGAACTCTTAAATCACTTTTATTCTCATACGAGTGCCCTTGGTCATTACTCTTGTATAATTTCGAGTATAGTTTGATATTTATATTATCTTTTTGAAATGTAACAAAAGCTCAAGTTAGTCCAATGGTTAAACTTCAACTTTTGTTTATTAAGTACCAGTTTTGGGGTGACAGCCTCGTCGCCCGTTCCATTAACGATTTAACCCCAATAGTATAATTGAAACAAAAATTAAATTTCAATGCTACAATTGAAGATATTAAAAGTTTAACTACGTAAATGATACAACGTTTAAAATTTAATGGTATCCGGTATAGTTTACCTTAAATTTTCAACTATAAAAATGCAATTCATACTCCTTGGATAAAAAATAAAATTATTCGTAATTCATACTCTTGTTCTTAAAGAAAATGAATTGCCATAAACAATGGTGGCTTACATGAATGAGTAACAAAAAGGGTTTACTTTCAATCACAAACAAATCAGACTATGAACTAGCTGAATTGGGTTTAACTTTCCTTCCCAGAAATTGCAGTAGGTGTTCACGTTTCCAATTGTCAATTCTGCAAAAGAACATAGAAAGATTCAGAAGGAGCCTCATTGTTTCCACTAAAATCCGAGCAATATTTGGCATGGACATAGCTAATTTTTTCGAATTTTTTTAAAAGTATTTGTATACGAAGCTCGTATACGATGAATTTGTAAATATAGGTATAAGGATGTGACCCTCCATGGGCCATTCATCTAGACATAGGTATAAGGATGTGACCCTCCATGGGCCTCTGAAATACATTTCTAACTTTAAAAAACTGAACATAGTTGCGTCTGTGTCGGACTCATAAATCTGAGTCTTAGTAAACTAGAGGCAGGTCAAGAGTAAAAAAAGATAAGATTTATTGTATAAACAAAAATAATATTCCTTTTGTAATTCATAGTGTCCGTTTAAACAGTTATGGGATGTTGATTCTAGGCAACTTAAAGAGCATCATAATGAGTTTGGCCAAAGTAATCTTTCCCCCATACTTATAATGAGTGGATATAGCATCTTAAGAGAAGAAGCAACTAACCTTATAGTTTCCTTATGTTGGCCCTCATCATCCAACATGATCAATTTGGGCGGAGAGTTGAAAACATACTGCACTTTAACAGATGGAAACTTGCTCTTCTCTTCTTCAATAAAACCGACGATTTCGGGATAGAATACCAGTTTCCTCATGCACACCTCCAGTATCGCACCTGAATAAGTAATCTGCAATTGCAAGAATTAAGATATGAGACTTAATAAATCAGGGGGAAACGCAATATGGTTGGCCTATGTTGTTTGGATTTTCATTTATTTTAAGCAACCATGTCTGAAACCTGTATCTGGTATGGTCCAAACATACCCATGTTGGACACATAACCATGTCAGACACTCACATTTGAGTTGGAGTAATAGAGAGATAGGTAATGTGACTCCTACACTAAATGACAACTACAGTTCGGGAAATAGTGTTATATAATACACGCAGATGGATCTAGAAAATAAATGTGACTGATTCTTACATGCAAAGTTCAGTAAGAAACTTAAAACCTTAATAATGGTGATAGCATAACAGTGTAATATCATCTGAGGTACCTGCAGCAGTATTATACAGGCTATAAACTACAGTTGCTAAGAGGTTCGATGACAATGTACAAATTGACACACTCTTTTTCTAAACATCTACGTCCCCTTATGAGTTATGACGAAACTCAATTTTATCCAAGAGGAACAACTCTTCGACTATGCACAATATCAAAGACATCGCACCATTTCATACCTTACTAACAGAATCATCTGAGTCTTCCGTGCAGCATTTCAAACAATCAGACATCAACTCTGAAATCAGAAAATATAGTTCAGAGTCATTTTGGAGCAAGGAAAGCATTTGTAAGTTAACTAATCTTGAGCACTGAGTTTAATATTTAACTTATTTATACATGCCAGAACTGGTGTATTCTTTAAAATCTATAAAGAAATTCCTTTGTTATTAATCAAAATGAGTTGTTCACAATGATGTTTTGCTATATCAAACCAAGTCTTCCAACTATTATGCTGATTTAACAGCTATGTTGCTTCAACTCTTCAATTTTCTTGAATTAATCATGTCATTTTCGGACATGGTAATGGGATATATGACCAGTCAAGGGCTCTCCAAATATATGGAAAACCTACAAATACTGAAGATACCCATATCGAACAAATACCTGTATCTGACACGAGTCGATTCCATGTAACATAGGTTCAACAGACACCTTACCCTTACCACATCAATGAAAGCAACATCATTGGCAGCAGGATCACAAAGCAGTTTCATTTTGTGACACCATGTACTTCCCTTGCTAAAGACTTGAATTACAAAAAAACACAGGGTACTTTTAACAGCAATAAAACCTATATGCTTCTGCTTAACTCTATAGTACATGGACTCTTTGTATTCCTAAAGAATCTGTGTAACATATTTCAGACATGAATATAGCGGCATGATCTTCCATAACTACAGACTTGAGCTGCAAAAAAGAAGGTAATGTACTGTCAACAGCAATGAAGCCTATATGTTTATGCTTCACATTACCCCAGGGACGGAGGAGGAATTTGGGCGTGAACATAAAAAATTATATTAAAATTTTAGGGGGTGCGATATTATAAAATCTTAGGGGTGCAAAATTAAATAATTCATATAAAATACAAAGAAAATACCTAAAATATAAGGTAAAAGAATCAATGTCTAGCCCATTTAGAGTACCATATGAAGGTATGATCTGCCATCGCTAAAAATATTTGAGATGTAAAACAGGGTGCCTACCCCTATTGACACTCACTCCGAAACCAGATAATATAGGCTTACCTGTGATTTTTTTTTTTACTTCTCTGAATCGAAACAACATTTAGTATTAAAATGGTAACAAATATGCAAAATCTCAGTTCTCCATAACCCAAATTGTGAAAAATTGAGGAAGAAGATTATTTAAAATAAAAGGGGGTTCTCTTTAACACTTCAAACCGTTCATCCACCTATAAAGATTCTTGATAGAAAGAAGAATTATCATGATCACATGAAATTTGACCTCAATAAATAGAACTTCACATTGCCAACCAGGAAAAAAGGAGTATCAAAATTGAAAGATCTGAAACGGTTCTGGTACAATAAAATCATAACCCAGAAACCAAGATGGAAACCCAAACAAATAATACCTAAAAACTCCAATTTTCAATCAAAGAAAGCGCTGAAACAATAAAACAATGAAAACCAAGATTAGAATTTTTTATAAAAGGGTGAATTTTGATACCTTTATCTTTGACATACTCGTAGAAAGTGTTGCAATCGGAGCAAAGAGCTAAGCCCGTGAAACCCAGATCCTCACATTGCTTCGAACTTAGCTGTTCGCTTGATGATGGCACAATCATGGCGGCTGATGAAATTGTAATAATTATTAAAGAAAATAAATGTAAACCCATCTTCAACATTTCTCTTTCGCTCCGAACCTTTTTTCTTGGGGATAAATCTGTCGCTCCGTTCTCTGTTTTAACGTCTTACACAAAATTTAAAGTCTCCGGGCTGTTTGTTTGACTGTTAAAGGACCCAGTTCAGCGTTCATTTAGCGTGTTAGTTTTGATTGATTCGGTAAAATAGTGTTAAATGATTCTGTATATAAGTACTGAATCATTCAGAGTCAGTTATCAAATAATATGTTACATTCAGAGTCAAACTATTCAAAGCCAAACCATTCAGAGCTTTTGAATTATTCAATATTTAAATAATTTAACACTTAATCATTCTGAAAGTAAACAAACAGTCACTCCTTCAAAAAAAAAAAATAAAATTTTGAGGATATGAGGGGAGATTCGAATTTTTTTCCTTTTTAATTTGACTAGAAAATTTGATTCAAGTTAATTTAATTAGTAGTTTTATAAATTCAATTTGATTTAAAAAAATTTAAATTTAAATTAAGTTATAAAATATAACTTAAATAAATTAATTTTTAATAATTAATGAATTGATTATAAATTTAAGTCAAATTTTTTTATTTTACATGATACATGTAGTGTATATAAATATATATATATATATATTATATATGATTATAAAAAATTAATTTTAATTTAAAACAAATAGTATTATTATATCTGCATTTTTGAAACACCACCAACAACGGTTTATGAGCTATGGCTCAAGGAAGTAGAAAGTATGATGGTCTAGTAGTTTTTCTTTATTTAAAAAAAAGTTTATAATTAAATTTAGTACTACAAACTAAGTGATCTTTGTGTTAAAAGGAGTTGCTATTATTTATGAGGATCCGAATTCGAGCACCATAAATATCAGGAGTGTGAGTGTTCAACGTCGAAAGATTGAGAGTTTTATTTAAATAGATACTATTCTATTCTTACCTCGGATTAATTAAAAAGAAACTTGAACAACTTGAAGAATAACTTAAAATGTTTTAACTCTGCTAGAGCCGATCAAACGCTCACCTCATGGATATAATACAAAATATAAAATGACGCAGGATTATAGAACATTCAGATAATTCTATTTTTTCTTGATGATGAATGGCTTAGTTGTTCGCCGATGCTCGAACTGTGATCTTTAGAAATAATAACGATTCTTTTAACCAATTAGTTAAATTGATTTGTGCTAAATAAAAAATATTTTATTAATTAAAGAACAACTACTTATGTTATTACAATATAAATATAATTAATTATATTAGTTATGTATTAAAATAATAATATTGTATTAATAAAAATATTAAGAATATATTTCAAATACTAATAATTAATATATATTTTTGATTAATCTGAGATGATTACAAGATAATATTTATTCTAAAGATTTTTCAACAATTTAACAATGGAAACTTATCACCCTTATAATCTCCAATGTTCGAATCTGAGACTTCTAGAGATAATAATAATCTTTTTAATCATCGAAATAGTTTAGTTAGTACAATAATTAATATTTTTAAAAGTTTAGAATACTATCTTCATTATTTAATAACAATAATTTTAAAAAATAATAATGATGATCAAGCATCAAGACCTAAATTCAAGATCATTGACGTAATATATTGACCTTCCCATGAGTCCTAATAAAAAGATCAATGTCGAGATAACTCAAGTTCATATTGAACATGATGGTACAAGACTTTGCGAGTAAAGGGTTACAAGTAGGGGGTGAGCAAACTCAACATGAATTGAAAATTTGATTTTTCTTTTAATTTTGAGTTATTTGAGTCGAGTTATTTGAGTTAACTTGAATTATCAATTCGATTTTTTAGTTCGAGTTGAGTTGAAATTTTAAAATTTCAAGTTACTCGAAAAACTAAAAATTTGACTAAGTATTTTAATAGTTTTACGATTTAGTCATTGCTTTCATTATTTCTTCAATTCATCATTTATTTTAAGTTTGTTTTTACCGAATTTGATCTACATGCTCCTAAACCATTATAGAATACATATGTACTTTCAATTCCACTTTTTGATAACAATTTTCTATTTTTCAATTTAGCCCCTCAATTTTTTATAATTTCCTTATTTTTTTCAATTCTTCCTTTATTTTAAGTCTCTTTTTTTACCAAATTTGAAACACATGCTCCTAAACCATCGAAAAATACATATGTACTTTCCATTCCTTTTTTTGATAACAAATTTTATATTTTTCAATTTAGTCCCTCAATTTTTTATAGTTTCTTTGTTTCTTTAACTTATCCTATATTTTAAGTATGTTTTTACCAAATTTGAACCACATGCTCATAAATCATCATAGAATACATATGTACTTTCAATTCCTCTTTTTGATAACAAATTTTCTATTTTTTTAATTTAGTCCCTCAATTTTTTATAATTTCCTTATTTCTTCACTTCATTCTTATTTTAAAATTTTTTTTTACCAAATTTGAGTCACATTCTCATATACCATAATAGAATATCCACGTAACTTCAATTCTTTCTTTTTTACTAAAAATGTAATCTCAGTTTCTTTATTTAGTCCCTTAACTTTGCATTTTACTTAATATGGTCTTTTGACTACAATTGTTTGCAAATAATTTCTTCCCATCAATTCCTTGACTCTTTTATATTCTCATCAATGTTTTACCCTCAAAATACTTTCTTTAAAATATAATATTATGAATATATTTCATAATTTTATATTGTATTTGATATATTAAATAACAATTTAATGTGAACAGAATATAAAATATCTATATCTTATATGGTTAGAGAAACTCGAATAACTCGAATCCTTGCCATAATACTATAAATAATTATAATAAAATTAGTATAGAAACTCGAATAACTTGAAATTTTTTTACTCGAATCGATCGAATATCCACCCCTTAGTTACAAGCTTATATAGAGAATAAAAAATAGGGTAAATTATATGTTTAGTACATAATTTTTTTCTTCGTTTTTGTACCTAAACTTTCATTTATTTTAAAATCATACTTAACGTTTAGTTTATGTTTCATTTTGGTAATGGAATTGTTGTATGTGACATTTTATGGGTAAATCACATCATCCATCACTCATCTATCTTCTCACTCATATATTGGTCACTAAAGTTTAACAATTTTCAATTTAACCACTCAACTTTCAAATTTCTCATGTTTTAATCACTCAAATTTATTTTATTAATATTTTTGTGACATGATTAAATCAAAATTAATTTGAAAGTTAAGTAATTAAATTAAAAAAAATAAGCTTCAACGATCAAAATAAGAGTGAGAAATAGTTGAGTGATTGATGATGCAATTTACCCATAAAAAGTACCACGTTGTAATAATTTTGTTAAGTTTTTAACAGTGAGGTACCAAAACGAAACAAAAAGTAAATGTTAGGTATGATTTTAAAACAAATGAAAGTTTATGTACCAAAACAGAATAAAAGTAATAGTTTAGGTACTAAATGTGTAGTTTACCCTAAAGAATCAAGAAATTCATGGCCTAGTTTGATCCAAGGTGAAAATTTGACTAAAAATTGTGCTAACTCATGGTTTGAAGCCAACTATATTTGAGTTACACTTCCAAGTCTAGATAATCTAAATACTGGTGTAAATTGACCACATATCCAATTTGTGAAGGCTAATCCAAATGATATTCAAGAAGTCCTTTTAAAGTGATCTAAGCCCAACTTGATATTTTTTAATTTGTTTTTGGATCCATCTTCAACATTCAACTAGTCAAATGAAATTGTTGTCAAATGGTTGAAATTTATCTTTGAACAAAAACTGTCTTGTAGGGGTGTTTGGTTGATTAACCTTACCGTTTTGTCTAAACTGTTTGGTTAACCGTTATAACGATTACTCAATTTTACTAACCATGACCTAACCATTTAAAAATGATTAACCGGTATTGGTTAACCGTTATTAACGGTTTGGTTACACAAGTTAACCTGTAACCTATTACAAATTTCTTTTTCACATTTTTACTCATTAATTTAAAAAAATACATATTAATACTACATAGTACTTAATACATATACATATTACATTTGTATATTTTTATATTAGTTTAAATTTCCAACACACACAAAATACATAATTAATCATATTATAAATTTAAGCATTTATCAATTAACAATAGTCCAAAACACCATCAAAGTTTCAAAGATAATCTTTAGTAAACATAAATCTTTAGTAAACATAAAATAAACTTCTATGATGTAGTACCACAAGCCACAAAATATTAACTCTAATATCAAATCACCAACACCCAAGGTCTTAGTTGGCTTCCCCAGAAATAGAATTTGTCTCGTCAATCATAGTGTTAAATCCTTTATTCCTATATTCCAAAACATGAAGCAAATCAATATAAAAAAAGTATAATGTAATCATAGCAAATCAAAGATAAAAAAATTACGAATTAGATTATAAAGACTAACCATTCTCCAAATCTTCTAACTCAAGAAGACTTTCCTATATTATAAGCGGGTCTCGAGATTAACGTATTCAATCTTATGAACAAATAACAACTTCAACCATTCTTGGAGTTAAGGAAGTGTGAAAAGAATCAAGAACTCAACCTCCCGTGCTAAAAGTAGACTCAGAAGCAACAGTAGAAATTGGAATAAATAGTACATCTTGAGCCAATTTAGAAAGAACAAGATATATCCTTTGAGACTCACGCCACCATCCTAAAATATCAAAATTTGAATCATTTGGTTCATTTTCTGCACTCAAGTATTTCTCTAACTCTGTTTTTTCATCACAAGTTCCTAAAGTTCCTTTTGCATTCTATACCTATTATAATAATGTTGTTGCATATCAATCTTTTTTTTTGTTACTTTCCATGCCATGAATTGTTATTATCAATACTATTACTTGATTCTTCTTTCTTCCTCTTGGAGTATGGCATTACATCATTATAAAATTCAAATAAAAATTTTAAAGTAATTTAATGGTGGATAGTAACACATTAGCATTTTCAACATCACATGTATCACTCACAATCCACTCAATAAATCCCCATTTATGCCTTGGATCAAGTAGTAAAGCAACAAACAACAAAAT